TCAACCTACTCGGCATAAATTATTTGAAAACGAAGGAAAACAGTGACTTTCAAATCGGCAGTATAAGAAACAGCCAATAAATATTTACGGTAGACGAGTCTGTAGGATGATCCTGTACCGACCTTCCTACCTCAGCGGGCTTATGTGGGATATTGTCCAGTGGTACTGACCTCCTGATGTTTGAAGCATTAATGGCCCAGTTTACTAAGTTGTCTCGCAATTCTTGCGGGCTTCTCGGGAGGCATACAAAAGTATTGGGAGTTCGATTCCCGGCTGGTTACATTATTGCACTCTTGTTAGGTAAGGTAAGTTTTCTATGGTTCTTTTGGTACAAAATTATTAATTTATAAGTTAACATTGATAATAATATATATATATATATATATATATATATATATATATATAATATATATATATATATATATATATATATATATATATATATATATATATATATATATATATATATATATATATATATATATATATATATATATATATATATATATATATATATATATATATATATATTTAAGAATAAAGAATAAGCCTCACTACACTGACCTCCCTCACCACCATGCCCAACATGCCGGTCCATGAACCATTAGCGAGTCTTAAGCCCCAGAGTCCGTCAGGAGGTCGCACGAAGGAGTACCTGGTGAGATATATATTTAAGTCTATATAGTAACTAATAAGTAACTAGCACCTCAGTGCTGAAAATTCGTTATACATTAGCATTATAATTCATTGGCAGCTCCGGGAAGAAGCAAAAGCCACAGACTGGCAATGTTTTACAGGTCTTTATGAAAGTTCCTCAAGTGCAGCAGCAGGTAGCGATGGCAGACACAACTGTTGCATAACGGAAAGAATATAGGATTAGCGTTTTTTAGGCTTCGGATTGATATACCACCTTTTCCTAAAAAAATAAGTTATATGTTCTTTATGATTTTCTGAAGCATTGACTTAGAGCGACAAAATCAATGTGTGTTTATTTTGATTAGTGGTTCCGCAGGGAAGTGTCCTTGGACCCCTGCTCTTCCTCATTTACATCAATGATCTTCCAAACATATCCCAACACCTGAAACCCAATCTCTTTGCTGACGACACGACTTATGTCATCTCCCACCCTAATCTTGCCACCCTCAACACCATTGTTAACAGGGAGCTGCTCAAAATATCGACTTGGATGACAGCCAATAAACTTACGCTTAACACTGACAAAACCTACTATATTATGTTTGGTACCAGAGCAGGCGTTGCGCAACTTAACATTAAGATCGACAACACTCTAATTGCCAGACATAATGAGGGCAAATTCCTTGGCTTATACCTCGACAACAACCTAAATTTCAGTACCCATATCCAACACATAACAAAAAAAGTAACCAAAACGGTGGGGATCCTCTCCAAGATATGATACTACGTGCCGCAAACTGCCCTTCTCACACTATACCACTCACTTATTTATCCATACCTCACCTATGCAATCTGTGCTTGGGGTTCAACTGCAGCAACACACCTAAAGCCAATAATAACCCAACACAAAGCCGCAGTAAGAATAATCACTAAATCCCATCCCTGGCAACACCCCCCCCCCACTCTTCATAGATCTAAACTTACTCCCTGTTCAGTACATCCACACTTACTACTGTGCAATCTATATCTACAGAACCTTAAATTCCAATATTAACCTTGACCTAAAACGCTTTCTTGATAGTTGTGACAGGATCAACAAGCATAACACCAGACACAAACATCTCTATGACATTCCCCGTGTTCGACTAAACCTTTACAAAAATTCAATGTATTTCAAAGGACCTAAAATCTGGAACACCCTACCTGAGAACTCTAGAACTGCAGACACATTCATCACTTTCAAAGCTACAGTTAGAAAACATCTTATCTCCCTGATCCACCCCGACAACTAACTACATGATAACCACCTGGTGGTTCACACTTACACTCACTCACCCACTGACTATAAACCCAGAAATACTAATCTTAATCTTAAAATAATAAATCCTAACTAGTCATAAGTTTGCCTATGATACTCCAATATAGACACTTTGTATTGTGCCAAAACAAAAGCATTCACATTGCTAAACTCACAAATTATGATGTAGTCACTTAGCCTTAATTCCATAATCTGTAAGGATTTAATGTTAAGAACTAATCTAAGTCTGCTCGAAATGCCTAGCCATGCTAGGTGTCCTAGTGGCCCCCTCTGTAATTAGTATTTTATAACATGTAAACCACACAATACCCAAAACCTGTAAACCCCACATTGTAACCCTTGTAGAGAATAAACTTGAACTGAATTGAATTGAATTGAAAGAGAGTTTCCATATATAAACCTGCCAGCCTTCACGGTTTACCGAAAACTTACAAGTGGAGCATTCTATCCGCTCATGACTTCGAGTCCAGACAGCGTCGACCAGAGACTGGTCACCCACCTCGCTAAGAGACTCTCGGGAGTCTTTGACACTGTAAGCTCAGCATTAAACCATCTAGAGATCTGTTTTCCTGCATCTTTAACTCGTGGGAAGACCTATTTCCACTAGCGGGCCCCGCACACCTATGATGATGCCTTCAATTACTCCTGACTCCAGTATATAATAATAGTAACAATTTTAATAATAATAATAATAATAATAATAATAATAATAATAATAATAATAATAATAATAATAATAATAATAATAATAATCTTAATTACTACAATTACGTGATACAATAAGTGTCCATCTTCCTCTGCTTCACAGTGACCTAAGTTCGAAGAGTGAACACCTCATCAAGGCTGTGGGACTGATTACCTTACTTCCACTACCTAAAATATGTAATATCGGTATCAAACTGAGAAGGCCATTGGATCGCGAAACACCTGCAGAGTAAATTTATCCAGGTGTTGTACATGCGTCTTATCATCTTCTCAGTATGAGAAGAGACTTAATTAACAAGTATGGCCAGAAACGAGTAGTTCGTAATCTTACTGAAACATTGAATCTGGTAACCTTGTTTATTCCTTCGTCAGTTTGGACAATATTTCTTACCCTCCTAAAAAAATATGTTTGACAACAGTGTTGTTAAACGTGGGAGTTACAGAAGAATCCGTTTAGCATGGGCCAGTCATACAGAAGCAAGAAGCTACAGTATCTCCGCCACATTAGTACACAATCATTAGTCGAGCATCACATCACCAGACATGACAGTCAGGTGGAAATTAAACAGAGGTTATTTTTGCTCATGGGTTTTCCCGAGTATTTAGGCTCATGTTTTTCTGACTCCTTGTACTTTTGCAGTGACCAGGACCGAAAGTTTTCCATTAAACATGTCATAAATTGGTAGCATATTTTTTCACTGCTTGTCAGTATGTTATACTTTCATACCCCTCTCAGGTCCAAGGCACAAATGCTATTACTATTAAATTGTTTGATAATATACTGAGAGACCAACAGGAACAAAACTGGAATTAAGATTCTTTTTAGGAATGTTGCGTTTAGCTGATTCATCATGATGACGTCTGTGAAGGAGCAAAGAGAATTATATAGTTTAACGGGGAACCTGGTTGTGAGATAACGATGATTTATAGAAAAAAGTATTGTTAGTGGAAGACATAAGAGCAAGTTTGTGTATTCTTTAAGTCTGTCCAAAAATAGGATGTGGCAAGTCCACCATTATACTAAATACAGCAAAATGAGCAGGAACTGGAGAAGGTACCTGAAGAATCAAGAGAAGAAAGAGGAACCATATTGCTATTAAGTGAGGGAGTTGGCGAAAAACAAGTGAACTATCGATAGGATGGAAATTATTATTAAAATTATAACATCAGGACGATATCTATAATGAGAAAACAAAATACTTAGAACAGACATGTCAGAAACAGAAATGGAGGAAGAAATAAGAACACTTCTCCTAACAAACTGTGCATACCTGGAAAAGCAGAGACTGTACATGCCATTGTGTAAAGGCTAGATGTTGGTGTCCACCAACCTTTGACTGACTCTGAAGTTTCTTCTGCAGGTTTACGCACACTGACATGTATATTCACTGCTTTTCCTACCATATACAATAGGTTTACTTACGTGAAGTTAAGTGCACCAGCAAGGTATTCTATCACCTTCACCATGGAACCCTGGAATCGAAACTTGGGAGCTCCGGAGCCTTGAGGATCATTTATAATCACTAACCTAACATAGCCAGACTCTTCGAGCGCCACCAGTAAATTCGGTCGGTGGTGGAACCTACGAGAGTCGAGGTAGAAGGTACAAAATTGTTCAATTTTTATATGTTACTTGACGTCTTCTTGCTCATTTTATTGTGTTTCATAAATATTTTAGATTTGAAAAATTAAATTGATTGTAATATGCTGTGTGTGTGTGTGTGTGTGTGTGTGTGTGTGTGTGTGTGTGTGTGTGTGTGTGTGAGTGTGTGTGTGTGTGTGTGTGTGTGTGTGTGTGTGTGAGTGTGTGTGTGTGTGTGAGAGAAGGTGGGTGGGGGTGGGTGTGGGTGGGTGTAGGTGTGTGGGGGTGGGTGGGGGTGGGTGGGGGTGGGTGGGGGTGGGTGGGGGTGGGTGGGGGTGGGTGGGGGTGGGTGGGTGTGGGTGTGGGTGGGTGTGGGTGGGTGGGGGTGGGCGGGGGTGGGTGGGGGTGGGTGGGGATGGGTGGGGTTGGGTGGGGGTGGGTGTGGGTGGGTGGGGGTGGGCGGGGGTGGGCGGGGGTGGGTGGGGATGGGTGGGGGTGGGTGGGGGTGGGCGGGGGTGGGTGAGGGTGGGCGGGGGAGGGTGGGGGTGGGTGGGGGTGGGTGGGGGTGGGCGGGGGTGGGTGAGGGTGGGCGGGGGTGGGCGGGGGTGGGCGGGGGTGGGTGGGGGTGGGTGGGGTTGGGTGGGGGTGGGCGGGGTGGGGCGGGGGTGGGTGGGGGTGGGTGGGGGTGGGTGGGGGTGGTGGGGGTGGGTGTGTATAATGGCTTGTCTTGCATTGTTCAGATCGCCTGTCTTCTCAAACTCACTTAGAGAACTTTTCCGGGAAGAGTGGGAGGTGTGAGGTGAGGTGGAGGCCACGACGAGGTGTCCAGGAGGCCACCTGCACAACCTGGGATCCCCGCGGACTATACGGCAGCTGGACGTAAACACTGCACCTATAACAGGAAGGTATACATGTATGATTTACTACATATGTGTGTACACACCTATTTGTGGTTGTAGGCTCCTGACCCCGTATATGTGTGCGCGAGTGTGTGTGTGTGACTGTGTATGTGTCATTGAGTATATGTGTGTGTATTCACCTAATTGTGGTTGCAGGGGTCGAGACGCAGCTCCTGGCCCTGTATGTGTGTGTAATTATATGAAAATACCTATTTTCAGATACCAGATATTCACCGATGCAACAGGTGAGGCTTCCAGGACACTCACCGATGAAACAGGTGAGGCTTCCAGGACACTCACCGATGAAACAGGTGAGGCTTCCAGGACACTCACCGATGCAACAGGTGAGGCTTCCAGGACACTCACCGATGAAACAGGTGAGACTTCCAGGACACTCACCGATGAAACAGGTGACACTTCCAGGACACTCACCGATGAAACAGGTGAGACTTCCAGGACACTCACCGATGAAACAGGTGAGACTTCCAGGACACTCACCGATGAAACAGATGAGACTTCCAGGACACTCACCGATGAAACAGGTGAGACTTCCAGGACACTCACCGATGAAACAGGTGAGACTTCCAGGACACTCACCGATGAAACAGGTGAGACTTCCAGGACACTCACCGATGAAACAGGTGACACTTCCAGGACACTCACCGATGAAACAGGTGAGACTTCCAGGACACTCACCGATGAAACAGGTGAGACTTCCAGGACACTCACCGATGAAACAGGTGAGACTTCCAGGACACTCACCGATGAAACAGGCCAAGAAATTTGATCACATCTTCAAGGATATGGGAGCCGCAGATGCAGAGAATGACACGAGGGATAATAGGTCTCGTATGAAAATTATGTTAGGTTATGTTCGTGATATAATTTTGTTTACCATATCGTGAAAGTAACAAATTGTGTAAAGTGCTTCTCGTTACTTGCTTTAAGTAGCTTCTCTCCTAGCTTGTATTATCTAGTATTCATTCAGCCTCTCTGATTTATATGTCCCAGCACATGTTTAGAGTAATTTCTAGGAGATGCTTGTTTTGCAAGTTCTGCAGCCTCTCAAAATCTTCTTATAGGTTGTCTCTGACTTCTTTAAGGTTATTCTGATTTTAGGCGCTACATATGATTTGCTCTCCAATATATTAAGAAAAACAATGGGCATATTACATATTAGTGAAGGACCCAAATTATGTCTCTCATCCATCTTTATATAATGTGTGTGTGTCCTCGTCAAGGGTTATTATCTTTATTTAAGTATATATAACAAAACACATATTACCTGATATTCGTTGTGTCGTCGTTGATAATAACCAACATAGAGTTGAGGTTGGACAAGGTTGTGTGGAGATCCTGCAGCTCCATGAGGCGAGAGTGAGTGAGGATGAGGAGCCTCATCGACCACACCATGAGGCGCCCCTTGACGGACCACTTGACGAAGGCGGCGAGGAAGGTTGCCTCGTCACTTATCACCACAACTGTTGTGTATGATGACAACTTCCGCAGCTGTTCATGTAGAAATTGTCGTCAGTAATCTCCTAAGCTGTCAGTAATCGGCATAATCATAATGTTACTCTGAGTAACAAGAAAATACTTGCTAATGCGGCAACAATGTAAACAATCTCTTACCTACCAATGGAAAAACAGCCTACCATTTTAACATTGTCAACCAGGAATGAGAAGTCCATGTCCCTCTGGTTGAAATTCGAGCCATTAATTACTGCTTCAAAAAATGCAGCTCCTCCTGGGATTAGCAGATGATCTGTTATCTGACAGGAATAAATAAAATACATTATTCGAAATTAGTATATTGTTTGCTAGTTATATGACCCCAAAATATACCAAACAAATCTCGTTCATGGCCTACGTCGTCCATAACAGTCATTTCACAGAAAGTTCTGTGAGATGACGTAATATAAACAACATGGCTTATTATGCTTCCCACCACACAGAGTAAATAGGTTTGAAAACAAGAGCACCGATTCAGTACGTAAATATTTGCTCAAAATTTTGGAAAGAATATATTATTACAATCAAAACCAAGTGCTAAACCCACCAGGGCCATAGAGCGCTGCAGGGTAGGGCGTGTGAACTGTGTAATATGATTGAGCGGAAACTAGGAAGAGTGGAGAGTATTTTGGAGGTAAATTTGTAAGGGAGGTGAGCAGAGCAAAAGGAAGTATAATCAAAGGTTGTGTAATTAATCTGTTGCTGTCAAAAAGTCAAAGAGAGAGTCTGTGTCAACGGTGGGGCCGTCAGCGAGGAGGGAAGATAAAGTAAGAGCGTTAGAGCGGTGACCACATCGAAGGTAAATTCTGCATGCTCGCTGATACACTGGACAGTCCAATAGAACATGGCAAACTGAAACTTGAACCTGATAATTCACACAGAGTGGAACTGGGCGCCTCTCCATGAGATACATGTAGAATGCTACGAGTATGTTACATTTTATTCGGGGTATGTCACACTCCTGCATAGGCTGCCTCCTGACCAACGAACCAGTTGATAAGGATTTAACGATCAATAGGATACCCGTCGTTAAATCAGTACCTTGGTTCATCAGCCAGTCACAGACAAGCCCATCAAAACTAATGCAATGTGGTTCACTTGTGCCAAGCGAATTAACAGACTTCTCTGGGCTGCTGGTCGAGCACGGTGCATTCTCTGGCTGTTTCTTTTACCTTCTTGTTTTGCCTTGTTGTTCACCTACTATTTCACCGCTGTACATAATGTACGTTGTGCATATAATTGTAAATATCAACTTCTTATAATTAGTGAAGGAAAATACAAGTCGTATACTATTATTGAGTTTTGTTTTCTCCACTTTAATGCCATTACGACCAGGTACGCAGGTCATACTATACCTGTGTCCGTAATAATACCCATGACTGAAACATCTGTACCTGATGTCAAGATGGGAAAGTGTAGTCTCCCAACTACGACATCGATGAAAAGGCGACTAGGATCCTAAACTCGGCTTGACAGTGTGTAATTTGTTATGAATTACTTCAGGCCAACATTGTGGCTAACGGTTACGAATTACAGCAAAATAATCAGAGAATGCAGCAAAGTCGCAGCAGAGTCTGCCTGCTCGTTGCCCTGAACAGCAACATGACCAGGGACCCAGCACACAACGATTTCTTTGTTTTTGCTAGAAATGTGGAGCAACCGAAGTTGTATACGAACAACTAGGGGATAAGGTGAATTAAATTTTGCATAGCTTGCAGAGCACTAAAGGAGTCTGAGACTACTACAAATGCTGAAGTAGGCCTGAATGCAATACGGGTAACTGTCCGGGAACACTGCCACAAACCCGACAACGACAGAGGATTTAGAACCATCAGTGTAAACTGCAACGGCATGAGACTGAGTCAGGAAGTGGTTAGGAAAAAGTGAACGAGAAACAACCGCATGTATTTAAGCTCTCGCTCACGGCAGTGGGTAAGAACAGACCCGAACTATGCTAGATGAACATACTAATCTGGCAACTGAAGAGAAGTCAAGAGCGAGTGAAGACGCATAGAAAAGAGATGGAGTAAACAGGGGCGTTGAACAAATAACTGACTTCTACTAAACGTCCGTTACTATCCTGTATGTAGAAGGATCGTGAAGGTCACGATAGCGTTCAAAATAACGGAGGGAGTGGGCATCACGTCGATCATTCAAGAATGGAACATTCGCTTCTGCATATAAACTCTCGACAGGGAAGGAACGACAAGCACATAAACAAACCTAATCCTTGATGATGGATGGGATCAAGTTTAGAAAGAGGTACGGGAAAGGCCGCAGAATATATCTGATTGTCATAGTTAGTTTCGATAAAATTTGGGTTGAACAGAGTCGAAGGAGAGTTCAACGATCTTCTCCCTCACGAAAGATGAGATAGGGTTTTAAGGAGGTTCAGCCGGCTATGGCAAGTTGCTTTAAGGGAGGTAATATGTGGTTTCCAGGACAACCGGCGATCGAACAGAAGGTCGAGAAATCTGACGGCATCACGTTCAGGGATACGTGAGCCATACTGCTGCAATGGAGTATCAGAAACAACAGAACATCTGGTTAAAGTAATTTGGTGCGTTTTAGCACCAGAAAATTTAAACCCATGAGTACTGGCCCAATGGGAAACACGGTTGACAACATTCCGGAGTGAGGCTGCTACTGGGCGACAGTTAGCGCCTGCACAAGCTAAAGCAAAATCATCAACATAAAGTGATGACCAAATATTAGATGGGAGAACAGAGGCCAGATCATTAATAGCTTGTAGAAAAAAAGGTGGTGCTAAGGACACATATTTGAGAGACACCTTCAGCTTGGACAAAGTCCAGGGAAAACATATTATTAACCCGAATACGAAAATGTCTCTCAGATAAGAAGTTAAAGAAAAGTGGCAGATTGCCTCGGAGGTAATGAGCCACTCGGAATGAGTCTGGGTCAAGATGTTATATCTTTAAGTAGTGTCAAATGTCGTTTCAAGATGAAAAAAGACTGAGATAACTGAGTGGTTACTAGCAAGGGCATTACGAACATAGGTATCTAAGCGACTGTAGAAACATAATCCCGCCAACAAGTGCGTTTAACTTCTCAGATGACACGTCGGAAAACGGCCTTTCCACGTTTAAAATCAAGGAGACGCTCTGTGGTTAAACTTTTGTAATGATATCTGCCCCATGCAGCACGTTTCATACTCACTGCACGAGCACAAGCAGACGACGACCAAGGCACACAATACTGAGGGTGTCTACCCAAGGTTTGAGGATTGTATTCGAGGGTGTGATTAAAACCACGGACCAAAATAATTATAATACCTTAGCAGTTGAGGACAAAGGAGGTTATTCACTTCGAACAGTTTGACGTGAGTAAATGGTTAAATTCGCTAATGTGGGCTACGAGAAGGGCGAGAATATTTATGAGAAGTAGGATAAGAAAATGATTGCAGTCAAGTAAATGAGGGAGCACAGACCAGAGAAAGCAGAGTGCAATTGAGGGGGAACAAATTGAGTTCGATGGTCGAAATGAGTGAGAGTACGTGTATATGAAACATGGAGAGGAAGAGTAGCGAAAAGAGCCTCTAATTGATCCCCATGAGTCACAGTGAGACCTTACCCAGAGAAAATCATGAGCATTAAAATCTCCTAATAAGAAGAGAGGAGTAAGGGAAGAAATCAGAAATGCCACATCAGAAATAGATAATGGCCGAGGAGAAAGATATAATGAGCAGACTGTATACCATTTGTTCAAGTAGACACGGACTGCAGCATAATGCAGCGAAGTATGGGCAAGGACTCGAGAATGTGGGAAAAGGATCCGATGAATGTAATAAGATATAGCCCGGGATGGGACGGAAAACAGCGGAGCGCAATTTTGGTTCTTGCAAACAGACACAAACAGGAAAAAGCTGGAAGAGCAACACCTGAAGCTCTCCTCGATTACCCAAGAGGCCTCGAATATTCCACTGTACATAATCCATGATCGGCTAATAGTGTAACAGTAAAATTTTGCAGGTGTCTACGGGCAAGGAGGGTCAGTAAAGTCATGCGGAGGCACTGGGTAACTAGCAAGGAGTAAAGTATTGGAATGGTATGAAGAAAGGCGGTGTGAAGAAGAGCACTTAAGGTGAGAATGTGAAGTGTCGGGGAAATGGACCGTGCCCAACATAGATGTTGTCTCCTCGATAAACGTGGAGATGGCTTTATTAGTGTCAGATGAGAGAGAAGGCGGAGAAAGCTTGGTGGCGGAGGGAGAACATGAAGTTTGGGTAAAAACTGGAGAGACGACGAAGACGCCGAAGGGGTCGAGATGTCTTGGAAGGCAGAAATTTCTGGAGGGACAGGCGAGGGAGCAACTGTACTTGGGAGTGAATGCACCTCCACAACAGTTTCAGATGAATCTCGAGGTAATGGTCTAGATTTAGAGAATAACGTTTGGGAATGTCATGTGGTATAGGAGTTGAAAGATTTGGAGAAGGGATATGTGGCGTCGATTTAGAGTGGAGTGGGCGCGTAGACGTTGAAACATGTGAGTGGGAAGGTGAAGAAGTAGGGACAGTAAGAGATGAGGTTGGAACCTCAGAGTCCAAAACCATAAAAGGGGTTGGACACTGTTAATTTCGGAAGTAAGTGTACAGAGGCAATCTGTAGTAGAAGACTCCACTGAGGTCTGGGGCCGTCTAGCCACCGTGGAATAAGAGAGCCATGGGAGTCTCTCTGGACGGAAATGGGAAACTCCCATGGCGTAAGAGAAGCTCTATTTCTCTTAAAGACAACGAATCTCCATTTCTCTTAAGAAAATCGGGAAAAGGCCACGAAGACCTACTTAGACTAGTGGATGGATCTACTATAACCCCGCCTCCTGCTTCGCCTCACCTGACTACAGTATATAAGTCACTTTTACGGTCCTATGCTGTACTTTCTACAAGATTGATGGACTGAACACATCGACTCAAGGCTGAGGGACTGATTACCTCAAACTCCTCCTCTCCTTACACCTTTGTACTTTGTATTGGACTGATGAAGCCACTGTGTGGCGAAACGTTTCTTCAATAAAGATTCCCATATGTTGCATAAGTGTCTCAGTCTTCAACATCTTCCATTATTTCATCACGTATGTACTAGTTTTGAGTGAGAAAGGTTGGTTTTCAGATGGACTTGCCTTCTTACTTCCACAAGTGGATCCCGTCCCTTACAACATCTTAGAGATCTTCCACTTCACCTTCGACAGTATTTAAGACTTCGTTCCCAGGCTTCATCTTCATATCGTTCCAGACCATGAAGCTGAACTCTTCTCCAGGCTGAGTGACTGACCACCTCAAATACTATATTTCCAAAGTTGATGATTACATCATCTTTATTTCATGACTCCTGCTCCCTCTGTATCTGACTGAAGAAGCCTACTGTGAAGGCGAAACGTTTCATTAATAAAGATACCCAACTGTTGCACATGCATAGGCAAGGTTATCCTTGCCTATGCCCAGGATTGGAGGTGATAGCACTCTGGAGATATTTTTGTAGAATGAATTCATGGGTTTTAAGTGTTAAGAAATATTTAATTTAATACTAGTAACAATCTCGACCGATTTTTAAACACCTTTTTAAACTAAAAAAGAAAAAAAAAAACAATCAGAGATAAACCCGGGAGGGACGACGGAAGGGAAGCCATGACCTCCCTGGCACCTTCGCCAGATCCGCCTCTGGGTAATTCACTTTATAAGATTCAATTCTAGTTCCTCGTATCTGCTGCACCTTGGGTCTCCAGACAAGGTACTCCGTCGACCATGAAATACTCATCCACAGGTAGATCTCAGTTACCATTAAGACTCCTCTATACACCTCTGTATCTAATAAATTGCGTAGAAACTAGTGAAATGAGTGGATTGTGTAACTCAGGGACTAAACCTCATTGTGATCCAGATGATATTCACACCAAACTATCATAAAATGTGACAGTTCTTTGATTTATATTATTTAGTAAATTTTGTAGATGCCTCGGTGCATAACATTATCCTATGATATTATTGACTATTTACACACCTCACCTGAAGACTGCTGCTAGCGGTCGTAGCTACGTGGATGTAGACGCGCCTTAATTACTTCTTTTTACCTAAGTCGTGGTTAGGACACCAGAGTTCTAATATATGAAGTGAAAAGTAAAAGGACACAAGTGCAATTAATGTGACATTTTATTGTGGCAACGTTTGAAAAAGCTCCTGGAGAGCGAAACGTTGCCACAATAAAATGTCACATTAGTTGCACTTGTGTCCTTTTACTTTACATATTGTCGGTAATTCTACCAGCTTTATTACAATATATGAAGTGCTAAGACACTCTTAGCTCAGATGACAAGGTTTTCTACTGTTTCCTGTTGAGCAGTGCTGTTAAGCAGTGCTGTTGAGCAGTACTGCTGAGCAGTGCTGATGAGCAGTGCTGTTGAGCAGTGCTGTTGAGCAGTGCTGTTAAGCAGTGTTGTTAAGCAGTGCTGTTAAGCAGTGTTGTTAAGCAGTGCTGTTAAGCAGTGCTGTTAAGCAGTGCTGTTAAGCAGTGTTGTTAAGCAGTGCTGTTGAGCAGTGCTGGTGAGCAGTGCTGTTAAGCAGTACTGTTGAGCAGTGCTGTTGAGCAGTGCTGTTGAGCAGTGCTGTTGAACAGTGCTGTTGAGCAGTGCTGTTGAGCAGTGCTGTTGAGCAGTGCTGTTAAGCAGTGCTGTTAAGCAGTGTTGTTAAGCAGTGCTGTTGAGCAGTGCTGTTGAGCAGTGCTGTTAAGCAGTGCTGTTAAGCAGTGTTGTTAAGCAGTGCTATTGAGCAGTGCTGTTGAGCAGTGCTGTTAAGCAGTGCTGTTAAGCAGTGCTGTTAAGCAGTGTTGTTAAGCAGTGCTGTTGAACAGTGCTGTTGAACAGTGCTGTTGAGCAGTGCTGTTGAGCAGTGCTGTTAAGCAGTGCTGTTAAGCAGTGCTGTTAAGCAGTGTTGTTAAGCAGTGCTGTTGAGCAGTGCTGTTGAGCAGTGCTGTTAAGCAGTACTGTTGAGCAGTGCTGTTGAGCAGTGCTGTTGAGCAGTGCTGTTGAACAGTGCTGTTGAGCAGTGCTGTTAAGCAGTGCTGTTAAACAGTGCTGTTAAGCAGTGTTGTTAAGCAGTGCTGTTGAGCAGTGCTGTTGAGCAGTGCTGTTAAGCAGTGCTGTTAAGCAGTGCTGTTAAGCAGTGTTGTTAAGCAGTGCTGTTGAACAGTGCTGTTGAGCAGTGCTGTTGAGCAGTGCTGTTGAGCAGTGCTGTTGAGCAGTGCTGTTGAGCAGTGCTGTTGAACAGTGCTGTTGAGCAGTGCTGTTGAGCAGTGCTGTTGAGCAGTGCTGTTAAGCAGTGCTGTTAAGCAGTGCTGTTAATCAGTGTTGTTAAGCAGTGCTGTTGAGCAGTGCTGTTGAGCAGTGCTGTTAAGCAGTGCTGTTGAGCAGTGCTGTTGAGCAGTGCTGTTGAGCAGTGCTGTTGAACAGTGCTGTTGAGCAGCGCTGTTGAGCAGTTCTTTTGAGCAGTTCTGTTGAGCAGTGCTGTTGAGCAGTGCTGTTGAGCAGTGCTGTTGAGAAGTTCTGTTGAGCAGTGCTGTTGAGCAGTGCTGTTGAGCAGTGCTGTTGAGCAGTGCTGTTGATCAGTGCTGTTGAGCAGTGCTGTTGAACAGCGCTGTTGAGCAGTGCTGTTGAGCAGTGCTGTTAAGCAGTGCTGTTGAGCAGTGATGTTGAGCAGTGCTGTTAAGCAGTGCTGTTGAGCAGTGCTGTTGAGCAGTGCTGTTAAGCAGTGCTGTTGAGGAGTGCTGTTGAGCAGTGCTGTTGAGCAGTGCTGTTGAGCAGTGCTGTTGAGCAGTACTGTTGAGCAGTGCTGTTGAGCAGTGCTGTTGAGCAGTGCTTTTGAGCAGTGCTGTTGAGCAGTTCTGTTGAGCAGTGCTGTTGAGCAGTGCTGTTGAGCAGTTCTGTTTAGCAATGCTGTTGAGCAGTTCTGTTGAGCAGTACTGTTGAGCAGTGCTGTTGAGCAGTGCTGTTGAGCAGTGCTGTTGAGCAGTTCTGTTGAGTAGTGCTGTTGAGCAGTTCTGTTGAGGAGTGCTGTTGAGCAGTGCTGTTGAGCAGTTCTGTTCAGCAGTGCTGTTGAGCAGTGCTGTTGAGCAGTTCTGTTGAGCAGTGCTGTTGAGCAGTGCTGTTGAGCAGTGCTGTTGAGCAGTGCTGTTGAGCAGTTCTGTTGAGTAGTGCTGTTGAGCAGTTCTGTTGAGGAGTGCTGTTGAGCAGTGCTGTTGAGCAGTTCTGTTCAGCAGTGCTGTTGAGCAGTGCTTTTGAGCAGTTCTGTTGAGCAGTTCTGTTGATCAGTGCTGTTGAGCAGTTCTGTTGAGCAGTGCTGTTGAACAGTTCTGTTGAGCAGTGCTGTTGAGCAGTGCTGTTGAGCAGTGCTGTTGAGAAGTGCTGTTGAGCAGTGCTGTTGAGCAGTTCTGTTGAGCAGTGCTGTTGAGCAGTACTGTTGAGAAGTGCTGTTGAGCAGCTCTGTTGAGCAGTTCTGTTGAGCAGTGCTGTTGAGCAGTGCTGTTGAGCAGTTCTGTTGAGCAGTGCTGTTGAGCAGTTCTGTTGAGCAGTGTTGTTGAGCAGTGCTGTTGAGCAGTGCTGTTGAGCAGTGCTGTTGAGCAGTTCTGTTGAGCAGTGCTGTTGAGCAGTGCTGTTGAGCAGTGCTGTTGAGTAGTGCTGTTGAGCAGTGCTGTTGAGCAGTTCTGTTGAGCAGTGCTGTTGAGCAGTGCTGTTGAGCAGTGCTGTTGAGCAGTGCTGTTGAGCAAAGCTGAGAGCAGTGCTGTTGAGCAGTGCTGTTGAGCAGTGCTGTTGAGCAGTGCTGTTGAGCAGTGCTGTTGAGCAGTTCTGTTGAGCAGTGCTGTTGAGCAGTGCTGTTGAGCAAAGCTGAGAGCAGTGCTGTTGAGCAGTGCTGTTGAGCAGTGCTGTTGAGCAGTGCTGTTGAGCAGTGCTGTTGAGCAGTTCTGTTAAGCAGTGCTGTTGTGAGTGTCATGATCAGAGAGAACTCTGATGTATATTTCTTGGTACATTGGGGAATAATCTGCTTTAAGATCGTCTATTTCTTTTCATTATCAAGTTTTGTTTTATTTGAATCATCTGATATTTATAGTTTTATTTTTCTTTATCGTGTATGTACTGTGTAATAAATGCTAATGTTTATGTTAATTATATGTTCCTGAATGATTCAAACTTTATTAAAAATTTCTGACTGGCTTATTACAAGTCACAACATGTTTTCCTTTCCACTGATTATTGGAGAAATTATCCATGGCGATATAATTTGAATGACAACAATTATTTATTGTATATATGGTTCTACATCAAGCAATCTATAATGAATTAAATAATTAATACCTTATAAGTGACTCATTATTATGAATTAATGATTTAGTAATAAAACGAGCCCATTAATAATGGGCTGATTATAATAACCAATAATTCTTTACTGGCTTCTTAGTCTAACACATAAATATAATTTCACAAGTACCACAATTACTAATGTTGAAATTATTTCAACACTCATGTTATATAAGAAAGCTACGACACTTACCATGAAGATAGTGGAGGGTGAGGTAGTGCCGTCCGTAATGAAAATTACAGAGTAGCTGCCATTTTGTGTTGAGGTCAACACAGCCTCCACCACCTGTGTGACCAGCCAAGCCTCCATCACCTGTGTTGAGAGACCAGTCTGCTGCAGGCGCATCATGGACCACTTCATATCGTGTTTACCTGTTGAGAAGGTTAGGTTAGGTTAAGGTTTGTCAGGAAACAGGACAAGCGTTTCCTGACGTGGGTCTTAGTTGATAATCCGCCGTTGGAGGTTTTAGTCATCTGACGAGGCCTTTGCTGGCTTACCGGTCCACAACTTAAAAAATTATGGTCATAATTATAACCAGTTACCACCCTGTCGAGAAAATAATGTTTAAATTCTTAGCATTTATGCTATCACGTGCTTTGCAATCATGAACAATTATAACTGAATCTTGCTAATTGTTGCAGATTGTCGGTGGAATCACGATAAAAATAAACTGAGGGTCGAGGCGAACTTTTATGTTTACCCCAGAGCTATCAAACTTGACGATATATATTTTTAAACACAAAACATCTGAGTGTAATTCTGAACTTAACACAGATATCTGACGTTTCTATTTGTCAGACTATCAAACATCAACAAGACTGTCTTCATGGTAACACAGAGTAGAAGCTAATGATGACCGAGTGTATCTGGTTTATTCTATATTTTGCTAACAAATTTTTAGGAATTGTTGAATACAACAGGTGTGGTTTACAACTTACATAACAAGTACATTGAAAAGACCTACCAACAGGTGATGGTATCTACACAACTTACATATGTTTAAAGGGGGAAAGCACACCTATTTGAGTGGGGAAAAAATTTGGGTTATCCCCCCGGGTTAATGAAAATTTTTAAATATGCCATTTTGGTTATGCAAAACAAACCCAAGGGGGCCTGCCAAAAAATTCCCGGGGTGGGGGAAAAGTTTCGGCGGGGCCCCATCTTGGGGGAATTTCAACGGGGGGTTTTAACTTTGGAGGGTTTAGGGTTAGGTTAAGGGTTTGTCAGGGAAAAAAGGGAAAGGTTCCTGGGTCATTTGATAATGCCGGGGGGTTTTTATCATTAACCCCGGGGTTAGGACAAATTTTAGGTTTAAAAACCTTCCCCGCGGGGGGGAAACGGGGGGGGGGTTTGAAAGGGGGGGGGGGGGGGGGGTTTGGGGGGGGGGGGGGGGGGGGGGGGGGGGGGTTGGGGGGGGGGGGGGGGGGGGGGGGG